GTTGGTGAAGTTCGTCTGAACACCACAACCTAATGGGCAGATAGGTTTGGCCTTTAAACGATTCTAATCGATATGTTCCACGAAACTTGATCACACGGCATGCGGGTCTCGGTCGTCGGGTGCAGCGGGCATTTCGCGGGCGTCGTGCGCGTCGAGCGCTAGGCACGGTCGTGCGTGTTGCGGACGTGGGTACTGGCAGCTGGCAGCAGATCGCGGACGCTGGGCGTGTGCGTGCACGCGGGGCAGCACTCCTATGCAGACGCGGACTGGCGCTGGCGGGTGGAACGCACGCGAGCGTGCTGGACACAGAATCCTGGACGCGGGCAGACTGTCGCGCGCGTTGCACAGACGTGATGAAGGACCGCTGATCGGTGTTGTTATTTATACGTTGGGTGTGAACAAACGGCGCACTCAGGGCCTTCGTTTATCCATGATAGGTGTATCTAACAGACGCACTACGTCCTTCTCCTAGATACCGTGACTTGAAGACGCTCTAATGGCCTTCTCTCCAACACTGTATGTAAACACGCACTAACGGCCTTGTTTAAACACACGTAAGAACTACAAGTTTCCCCTATGAGATTCACTCATCAATTCCAAGACTCAACATGTTTATTAATGAAGAGGTACATGGGTATTTATAGGTGCAAAATAAATCTAAGCCTAATAGATCTAGATCTCCTATTCTATGCAATAAAATAAATCCTAATGCTAGTAAAGCAATAAAACCCTAAAGCTACCAAATAACTAATGCTTGGCTTGCACACCAAGCAAATCTAAAATGTCCCTAAGTCTCCAACTTTCGGCCGCCTTCCCTTGTCCGCGTCACCCGCGTCGTTCGCGCACGCCATGCTACGCCTACTCCTCGTTGCGCGCGGCAACACCCGCGCGCTTACTCCCCACGCGGCGTCTTTCGCGCGCGCGCCCATTCCGCTGACCCTTCCTTGCGCGTGCGCGCCCAGCGCCCCCTCGCCTATTCCTGCCGCTCCTAGGACTCCCGCGCCTGTGCTACACTCGCGCGCTATCGCGCGCCCCCGGCCCTCGCCGATTCCTTCGCGCGCGTTGTGTCGCGCACCCGCGTGCCGCTCGCTTCCGCGCCCTACGCTCCCCGTCCGTTCTCCGCGTGACCTCCGCGCGTCCCAGCTACCGCCCGCGCCCAGATCACCCACGCCGTACCCACGTGCACCCGTGCACCCGTCCATCTTGCGCCTGCGTACTC